GCATTTGAATTTGGATTGTTTAGCTGCTTGATCCGTTATCGTTGCTCATGATTCAATTCGATGTGTTTGTTAATTAGTTTTTTTGCTGATAATTATTTTTATGGTCTAGATTACATAATCACACTATATAGAATTATATAATCCAATTTTATAAATCACCCAAAATAAACGCCAAATCTAGCCATATTTAAAATTTTAAAACGCGTAATATTTCCAACAAATTTCTATTTTATAATTCCAAATTTAGAACTGCATTATGCTACAAACGAGCGATCTATATTGCTTTTGATATGTATTACCAATTGGGCTGCATGCATATATTTTACGAGAGGCCTGGGCTAAGGTCAGAAATTAAGGTCTTTGATCCTGGGGTGGTGTCCAGGTGTTTTGGCTGGGAAGACTCGAAATTTTTGGGATATTTTTCAAATCGATACCTCTGAAGTATCGATTTTTTTTCGATTCTGTAACATTCGTTACGTAAGCCATATATTTTTTTTCCCATAGTAAAACTCCCAGCAAAAAAAACAAAATTTCCGTTATATGTGGTAAAGTATATATAAAATTTTCGAGGTTAACCTTTATCTTGAATTGAAAAATCAAAGCAAAAAAGTTCTTTCAAAGTGGAAACTAAATAGCTTAATAGATAGAGAAAGCTCTGAATGATAACATATATTTTTTATAAGTTAATAGCTACAGTATAAAGCACTTTTTTTGCGACTTGAAGTTTTTGGGTAGCACATTTAGCTTAGTAAACAGGGTTTTTTCAATTTTCTAAGATGTAGTGGGTGGTTTACTGGTAAGAAGCTTGCGCAACAGCTTTTTACCAGATTAGTTTTTTGTTAGTTCGAAATTTATTGCCAGGCTTTTTTTTTGCTTGTGCAACTGTCCTAAAATGGAAGATGTGTCGTTTTTCATAGCGTGCCTGTGAAGTTTTTCGTTTGATGGGACGTTCAGGTCTTAAAAAGAGCGCAAAATACTTGAGTCCCAGCGTCTGACGTTTAAATAGCTCATGTTTTTGGCGTTCGGTGGTTTTCAGACTCTTGTTTTTCTTTATTGAACCCGAAATCTGCCAGAAATATTACCCACCGAAAATTTTTGTTAGAGAAAATTCAAAGAGGTGGGAGGATCGAAACTTGAGCTTCACAAAACAGCAACTTAGAGAATAGATTATGAAAAACTAAGTATACCATTAGAATCCTGAAGTCTCAATCTACTGATATATACAATATCAAAGTGATATAAGCCGAATTGAGAATCTATATCAAGACCCTAGCCAAATTATCGGTACACACAACATTTTTGTGTGGCTCGACTCAATTTACCAATTGTTTTTTTTGAAAACCAACCTTCTCGTTATATGTGTTGTTTGGTATTAAAGTATGTTATCACACCAGGGATTCCAGATATTATGTTTTCGCGCCTTGGGGTTTCTGTAATTATCATGATTTGACCAATGACAGTCAGTTATTTTGCTATAATTAGGCAAAAGCTAAATTTCTTAAAAATTTTCGAAATTGCAAATTATTTATCGAGTAGGTGAAGATAAATCAACTGGAAAGCGTCTTAGGTACATCAAAACGGCTTGTAAAGTATTGGATACTTTTTAAATTTTCAAAATCGGGCAATTACTTTATGATATATGGGCTCTAAACATTCGAGTAATACCCATGTCAACGGAAATGTAAACCATTTTAAAAGAACCAGTGATTTTATCGTAAAGCAAGTAGATCTAGGCAAATATTGGGCCGTATTTATAGCCATTCGTAGATTCCTTATGCGTTGAATCGCTTATAAAATATGTCAAAGTTACAAATTTTGAACTAAATTATTTGCGAGTTATTCACCACTTTATATTGGAGGCTATATAGGCAACACTAACCAGTTTCAAAGATTCAACGGTATGTTTTCCATTGTAAATCGTCTCATTTATTTAGATAATGTAGTGTTTGAACAATCTTAAGCATAAAAAAGTTCAATTTGGTCATCACTTATAGTTCAACCTTACTTTGACTTAAAGTACAGTACATTTTGGTGAATTTGTTAGGAAAACGTCATTTAACAAAGCTTAACTATATTGAAACTACTGTTACGCATCGTATTAATCATAGTTATCACGTTTAATAAAGGTCTTTTACAAAACTGGATCCAATTGACATGTATCAAGGGGACTGTTATGGAGTTTAAACAAGAACATCATTGTTTTAGCACTTCGTAGCAAAAACGAAAAGCTGGTAGCCAATGCGTGATACAGGACGTTTTTAGCACGGGTTAAAAATGGATATGAAGTTGTTTGAAGCTCAAAAGTGTCAGATTGGCTATCTTTGCTGGCTTAAACTTCACAAATTTAGCCGAAATTCAATAATAGTTGATTACATTTTGATGACATATTTTGAATTTATCAAATAGAATAAAGAAGCACTTCTATATACCATTCAATTTAGATTTAGATGGAGTATTAGTGCATACGAGTAGTTTCATATTTTGCTCCGTCTTCTTTTCATGGGACTTACTTTCTCGAACCGTTGACGGAAAGCATATAACCTTCAATGGCATTCACAAAAATCACTATTTATGAAATTTATCGAATTTAAATATTTATAACGCATTCAAAGCACTTGAAGAAAGCAATTATATCCTAGTATATCTCATAATTATAAGCATTTTATGGGGGATAAGGCTAATTATGGTCTGGTGAAATACTGGTCTCCATATTGCACCTCGAATATGCATTACCATTACTGGCAAAGGAAAGTATACAGAAAACAAGAAATTGTTCATACTACAGGGATGCTGCTACACTAGAATCTTCACAAAATTACGTTGGACTTGTCTTAGAGTAGGTTTTCTGCTTCTTATTCCCCAAACTGCTCCAGTATTTATCCGGTATTAGTTTCAATATCAATGAAGAATGGATCACGTATTTGACCATTTGTAATCGAAAAATCCCAAACTTTTATACTCCCTAGAGCTGTAGATTTACATCAAGAATGTACTTTCACATGTCTGAGGTCTTTAAAGCTATTTAAAATTTGGAGGTGATGTCAGAAGTATGCTTAATTCCCTAAAACATATAAACCTCAACAAGAAATTTTGAGCTGGGATTAAATGTACCTCTAAACATTAAAGAATCGCTTATACATAACGAATAGGGGTAAATGGTACTCAATTTAATCCTATAATGCTTGGTTAATCAAAATCCTTTCAAATTTACCCCAACATGACACACTTTTGATATGCTTTGTGATTATACAAATACCGCTTTTGAACTTTGAAAACTCACTCAATTTTGGCTCAAATATGATCTAAATTGTTTTACTCATTTTAAATCCATTCAATAAAGATATTCCAACCGTTAACTCTTTGATTTTAGCTAAAATAAATGTTTTGAAATTTTTGGATGTCATACCTGAAAAATCTATCTTCTTCAATTCGAAAGATATAAACGTCAGATTAAGTTCATTAGAAAGCGCAGATACAATTTAGTAGATTTATATGGTTGCGTTAGGTGTTTCGGTATATACTAATAATTAAATGTGGTTGTCGACGATAAATACACAATAATTATATTAAGATATACATTTCCCACAAAAGAACTGTTTTTTGCTTTGGAAACAACGATTCAATTTATCACTACCCTATTCGCGCTATTTTAATAACAATATATCTCACTTATCCCAGCAAAAAAGCTTTCTTAATTACCTTTTTTCATAAACTCAAAACTTAACATTTTGGAATCTCAAAATTACAACATTAGAGTACAACAAGGAAGATATATAATGTATCGATGATTGAAATATAAATTAAGTGCAAAGAAGAGCGCTATTGGGTGGTACTGGTGTAGTCTTTCATTCTGTTATTCACAAAAGTTTGTGAAATTTTCCTTTTCAATAGTAACCGACACAAATAAATGTCGACATTGAAACTTTCAGAATTTACATTAACCAGTCATTAATTTCTATAGAAAGAAGCTACATGATTTATTCATATATACTACCTCTCACTGGACACTGTTACATAAACTTTTTATAATCTAAAACATACAATTATGATGTAAATTTACATATATATATATATACTCCAAGGAATAGGTCAAGTTCAAACCGAAACAATAGTTTCCTTCTCTTCACTGAGTTCCTTTTCTTTTTCAGATCTTATAGCATTATACTTTTTAACAATAAACCAAAATAACCATGCAAATATAATACCAATAACGAAAAACATTGCACTAATCTCATAACCAATTGGAAAATGTGGTGAATCTTTTGTTTTATAAATCCCCAAAGGTAAAAATCCATTGAACGCATATACACATGTATTACCTAACGCAATGTTGATTGTCTTCAATAATGGTTCATCATAAAAAGTTTCAGTAAACCAACTAGTGAAAATACTTTGACTTGAACTTCCATAACCTAGAAAATATGCAAACATTTTCAATCCAAATGGGATATCCCAAATAGATAGTAATAAACAACTCACAAACCCAAGACTACAACATAATGTAATCATAGAGACCCTATTTCCAGTATAATCACTAATAGCCGATGTTAAAAACATAGCAATAAACTGAAACGCATAACCTGCCGTAGGGATTATATTAATCTGTTGAACTGAATACTTTTTTAATGATTTTAAATATAGAGCAAAGTATGAAGTACTATTTGCACCGATTGTAACCATTACATAAGTTCCCAAAAATAACCATAACTTCCAACTTTTCACAATTTCCCAGAAATTCTTAAGAGTTAATGGTTCTGGTTTAACTTTTTTCATACTTTTGGCTCTTGCTAATGCAAATTGACGATCTTTTTTATTAATCCATGGTGCTCTTGAAGTTTGTGGGAAATCTGGTAAACAATAATACCCTAAAAATGCAACTGGGATACTTATGAATCCATCAACCAAAAAGACCCATTTCCATCCTGGTAATCCATATTTACCATTCATAGATGTATAAACACCAGCTTGGATATACCCAGCAAACATACTAGATATTGGATTTGTAGCATTAAGCATAAACTGTCTTTTACCTTGACCTTCAGTACCATAAAATTCACCTATTCAATAATGTTAGTATGTTAGTCTATGTTAATATGACTTCAAAACATAGTTTATATCATACCAATTAAACACACAAGCCCAGGAAATGATGAGCTTTCTACTGCACCTTGTAAAAATCTCAACCCATAAACCGCTTCTTTACTTTTCACTGTGGCCATAAACATAACAATTACTGTCCATAAAACTTCAAATGTTGGTAAAACAATACTTGGTCTAACGTATTTTAAGAGAATAGCCATTGGGACTGAAAAGGACATATAACCAATATTAAAATAAGTTGTTAACCAATTGTAATCATTTGTTCCATACATATTCAAATCTTCTTTCATTCCTGAGACATAAGCATTATTGATGTTGGTTTGATCTAAATATTTGATAAAACAAGCAAAAATTGCATAGATATAAATGAAAAAATCAATTTTAGCAACATATTTACGTTCATCTGGTGGTAAAAAGATTGGATCCCAAATGAAACCAATGATTTTTTTCCATAATGGTGCAGTTTTTTTATCTAATCTTTGTTCACTTTGATAAGTTAAAAGCGTATCAATTGTATATGGTTCACCTTCAAAAATATCTTCATTGGCTGGATGATCATATTTGGTATTTAGAAAAAAGAATTTCCATTTATTGAAAGATTCTTGACTTCGAGTATCAATAGAACTGAAATCATTTATCTCAACTTGGGACAATTCTTTATTTGACATGATTGTAAAACTCTTGACATTTATACAGTGACGTGCGCCCAGTCATCTTGATATGGATTAAGCTAATATTATATACTGGACGTTGAACACATTTTGTTCATCTGCTGCATTGAGTTCCGTAATACATTGTGTGATAAAACTGTGGATAATAAGATGAAGTATTGATATGCTGATAAACTAGAAATATCTATTCCAATTGGTCTTTTTCATATATCATCGTGATAATGCCTTAGATGATGTAATTGCCTGGTATTATGGTATTGTGGTACTGTGGACTGTGGCGGATTTTTAAATTTTAATCTAATTAGAAGATATTTTTTTCGCGCGTATTATATACTTTAAATTAACAAGTATATTCAAAATGGCTCCAAGAT